TGAGAGAGTCTTATTGGTGAAAATCCTCGGGCACCGTAAGGCGATGGTAAGTAGAGAAATTGAAATGAGAGAGTCTTGTTAGTGAAAACCCGCAAAGGGCACTATAAGACGATAGCGAGAAGAGAAATGAGAGAGATCAGCTAGTGAAAACCCACAAAGGGCACTGTTGATCGAAAAGAGGATTCACACAACCAGTGGCATTAACACAATCATGAGCAAGGTTTCGCGGTTTCAAGTCAAAATTTGTGATGAGTTTTTGAGAATCGGACGGTTTATACAGATCAGGCATCCAGTCCAAAAGGCATGTCATGTTTATTGAAGTCTGCATGTACTCCCATATAAGTCCGTATTTCTGTTCCCTGAAAGGGGCACCTCTTGTTCTAACTCCATTCTCTATTGTATTGTTTGGTTGTTTTTTTTCTTTGAATCCCTTTCGCTCTAACTTTGTTCCAAAAATAAGGCAAAGAAAAGATGGCAAGACCGATTTACAGGGTTCTCGTTTGAAGCGAGCTGATATATTCAAAACGCGCCCAGCCTCGACAAATGCATCAAGTCGACCCCGACTGTCCATGATTGGCCGATGCTTTGAAATGAAAAACTTTGAAAGAAGTCAAAAGTGAAATGCCCACAAAGGAAAAATAAAGTTGAAAAAGGTTAAATACCGTCATGGCAAAGTTTGGAAAAGCTAAAGGTTCTCCAGAATCAGAAATGCAGTTGGTATTCAGGAAATAACTAGTCGAAGTTGAAGTCATTGAAGAAGATGAGCTGAGTCAAGGGACTGAAATAATCAAGGCCACAAACCGACCACCATTTTAAAACTAATGAATCTTTCTTTGTTCAGAACAGGAACAGAACAATTTTAAGAAACAGTTTGTGAAAACATGAACACCACCCAGTGAAGTTCTCAAATCCTTGATTTTTTTTCCAATATACATGTAATTATTTTATTTTTAGTTTCATTATAGGGAACCAATACCTTATCTTCAACACAGGGTACTACATCCCCTGTCTGCATTACTTTCTACCTACATAAGGTACGACATTCCCTAGTAGAATCTTAGAGAGCCAAGAGCCTAATTTTATTGCTAACATAGGGTACGACATTCCCTAGTAATATCATTTTCTGCCTATATAGGGTATGACATTCCCTAGTAGAATCTTAGAGAGCCAACAACTTCATCTTATTTCCAACACAGGGTACTACAACCCCTGGTTGCACTATTTTCTACATAGGGTACGGCATCCCCTAGCAGCATTTCAGAGAGCCACGAGCCTCGTCTTATTGCCAACACAGGGTACTACATCCCCTGGTTGCACTATTTTCTACATAGGGTACGACATCCCCTAGTAGCATTTCAGAGTGCCACGAGCCTCATCTTATTGCCAACACAGGGTAATACATCCCCTGGTTGCATTTNCTTTCTACCTACATAGGGTACGACATTCCCTAGTAGAATCTTAGAGAGCCAACAACTTCATCTTATTTCCAACACAGGGTACTACATCCCCTGGTTGCCTTACTTCTTGTTGCAAATATAGGGTACGACATCCCCTAGTTGCATTTCAGAGTGCCACGAGCCTCATCTTATTTCCAACACAGGGTACTACATCCCCTGGTTGCATTATTTTCTACATAGGGTACGACATCCCCTAGTAGCATTTCAGAGTGCCACGAGCCTCATCTTATTTCCAACACAGGGTACTACATCCCCTGGTTGCCTTACTTCTTGTTGCAAACATAGGGTACGACATCCCCTAGTTGCATTTTAGAGTGCCACGAGCCTCATCTTATTTCCAACACAGGGTACTACATCCCCTGGTTTCCTCCTTCTTGTTAACGCAGGGTATAACATTCCCTATTATTTTAAAAAAAAATGTCTTTTTCAATTCTTTATTCTGCAATAGCAATGATAGTTTAATGTGTTTTCAATAACTCACAAAAATTTCCTAGTGCAAACTGGGGCAGAAAATTTTTGTTCGTTTTGCTTGTTTGTGTTGGCTTGTAGGTTTTTCTACAAAGCATGGATTGGATGTGCAAAAAATAAGATTCCAGCTCTTGCCGGAGAAAATGGAATGTTTGATCTCAATACCAGCAGCAACCAGCTTGGACATAATGTATGCAGAGACATAGGGTCTCAAGATCCATCTTCCCATCATATAATCAAGAAATAAGCATGCGAGAATATTTCATAGTCTATTGCATCGAGAGCATCAAGTTTCAGTCTAAAGTCAATGGGAGAAGCAAGTCAAGAATCAAGACAAGACTCCAGATGGCATTTAGATAGGAATTTTGTAACTCTTAGATTTCAAGAGTATGTAATTTTCTTTTCATTTTGATGTAATAGTAGGAACCGCAGATCGGAACCTCAACGGAACCTCGACGGAACTTCACTCGACTCTCCATCAAAGAATACTCCATCACTCTTCTTTCACTTGAACTACATGTGACCTGATTCCCTTATAACCCGGGATATGTAGGCTGCCTAAAACCAAGGCTCGGTCGCATCTTTTATCTTCTTCTCCTTTTTAAATAATGGTGAGGTAAAAAAATCAGTCACCTTGTTCATTTTCTTTGCATGAAAACTCTTCATGTTTCCAAACAAAGAGGGGCATGCTGTGAACAACTAATTTTTGACCACACCCAAATTCTATACTATTTTAGTGTAAATATATTTTTTTTAGGTCTAATCTTAATAGTTTAAACTTTTATCTTACTCTTAATAGGTTTTATTTAAAAGAAAAAAAATAATTAAAAAGAAAAAAAAAAGAAGCTACAAAATTACTTACATTCGTAGAATGTAAAGTTTATTTCTTAAAAAAAAATCAAAAATATATATGTACATATATATACATAGTTTCTTTAAATTAGAATTTTAATAAGTAAGCTATAGAATTTTTCTTAGTATTATTTAAGTTACATGAAAATATTTAGTTTTCCTATATTGTAAGAAATGTTGGTTAATCTTCTTATTCTTATAATTTAATTTATCTTTTTTTTTTAAAAAAAAAGACAAAAAAAAGAGAGGGTAAACAAATGGAAGTTAACGTAAAAAAGAGATCAAACTTTATCTTTAAAAACATTAATCTAATTTAATAAAGATAAAGAACACAACTCCCACTCCCCATTTTTAGCTAACTTCCCTCACGTTATTCTTCACACACCCACGTCCCAACCCCCAAATTCCCTCCACCCAGGCCCACAACTCCACTCCATCACACAAAGATTTTATATATATAACACACACTTGCACTTACGAGAGGGAGGACGTTTTCTGCATAAAAACGAAAGAAAACGAAAAGAAGAGAATCAGATAAAGGGGGTATTAGAGTAGATTAGAGGAGAGCACATACATTGAATTCACAAAAAGCAGCGCTTTGCTTCGCATCTGAACGCACAGTCCACATAAGGATAGAAACAGAAGATTAGAGGAACCCAATTCCACCATGCCTTAAACCATTATTACCATAGACGAACGTTTCAATTCCACTCGAAATTCTGGTTAGCTTTTACAAAAGTTTTGTTCGAGGTTCGATTAAGGTGTTGTTCGAAGTCGAAGGTCGCGGTCATTGTCCCTGATTTTTAGCTATTTCTCGATCGAATTCCGTAGCAGAGTCATGCACACAGTCAGTCCGAGCATATCTTTGTATTCACTGTTATTACTCATTTAAAAGAAGCAATCCCAGGTTCAATTCTTCCCACTCTTACTTCTATTTTGGCTTCAATTTTCAACGTGATATGAATATAATGATACCTATATGTTGTTTTCTTGGTTTGAGTTCTGTTGGAATTGCTAGAATGATATTATTTTGTTTCATTTTGTAAAACGTGAGATTCCATTGAAGTTGTAGATTCAATTAGGTTCTACTTTTCTAGATCTCGTTAAATTTGGATTAAAAACTCAATTGTTTGGTTCCGAGTCATATCTTAATACTTAGGCTTAAATTAAGTCATTAGTTCATTCCTTAATCATAATCAAGATACAACAGTGATGATTTAGTTTATAAGGTTATTTCCTTCACTAGTTAAATATTTGTGTCATGTTCAAAATAGTTTTAGCCCGAATACCATGGTATTTGAGTTTTGTTTAAAATTTGGGATGATAATAGTGTTATGAGCTTTGTAGGTGAACGATTTTATAGAAATTGGTATAATTTTGGGCTTTAGGTCACTCTTTTCCCTTGATATCTCATTAGGCCGTTAACATTCGGCTCAAAATAATAAAAGTTAGCCCACATTTTCATAATTGACGAGTAAGTCTCTCCAAAAATATTTTATCCACAAGAATTTCCATAACCTATGGCCTTCACAATAATCTCAAACTTAAAAAAAATAACAATTTATGAACATCGCAACATGCTTTAGGCGCGACTTAATCGTGATTGAGTACACGTTCGCGTGACATAATTATGATTTTCAAAATAAATCAAGGTACGCGTCCGCGCGACTTTGACCAAGCTTTTTTCTTAAATAAACTAAGTGTTGTGAATTGTGTACACGTACGCGTGACATGACTCTTGACATGCCAAACCACACGAGTATACGTACGCGTAACTCGATAATTCTTTAAGTACGAGTATTCAAGTAATTTAAAAGCGGTAAAAAGATAAATGCATATAGGTCCTAAAAATGAGTAGTTAAACAATTTAAGCCAAGTAATATTCACTAAGCGACCGTGCTAGAACCACGGAGTCCGGGAATGCCTAACACCTTCTCCCGGTTTAACAGAATTCCTTATCTAGAATTTCTAGTTTGCAGACTCTTTAAAATAAAACTTCCTCGATTTGGGATCTAAAATAAACCGGTGACTTGGGACACCATAATTTATTCCAAGTGGCGACTCTGATCAATAATTAATCCCATTTCGAATAATGTCACTTTGATTGGAAAAACTCTCTTATACCCCTTCCGGGGATAGGAAAAAGGAGGTGTGACAAACATGTATAGATTCATTTGAAGTACAAATTTAGTCAACAAGAAATTCCATCACAAAGGGGGAAAAGAAGGTGAAATGTAAAAAATTGTCTTATATTATGAGTCACAATGATCAATGACAAATTGTAAAAAAGAAAGAACCTAAAAAGGGGAAAATTTTATTTTGTGTCTCGTACAAAATACGCTAGTTGTATGAGGCAACTTTTTGTCTCACAATTTTGTGGACCCAGCAGTGTAAGATTGGGGTCCACAATTTTATAAAACAAAAAGAAGACTCGTACAACTAGCGTCAGTTGTACGAGACACAAAATAAAACTTCTCCTAAAAAGGGAAAGAAAGAAAGTAAAAAGACGGCAACTCTCATCTTTCCCTCAAAACTTTCATTATGGAGAAATCCAGTGCCATAGGAGCCATCTCAATTTACCCCCTTAAGTTACCAAAAACTTACCACTAATAAGTTCGAGATAACACTTTTAACAACAAAAAAGGTAAAACTTGTTCCAGCTTCAGTTAATAACTGGACGTAACTTGTAAGTGAGCCACGTTAAAACTTGAATCAAGCTTTCAAAAGAACAATCTAAGAAGCTTAGTATCATCTCCTTGTCCTTGTTGTGGATTTTGATGGCACATAAAACCACTTTCTAATGTTGTGGTATCAGATTCATCTGAATTCAACGAAGGCGTCGCCTCTCGTCTCTTCTCCGTCCGCCGACTCATTCTACCGCCGGTGGCCGTCATTTTCGCCGGGAGTCCTGACGATAATCCGAGATCTAGATCCTCCGCCACCTCATCCATAACTTTCCTCTTAGATCGGAAGTTGAAGCTTTGCGATCTAAAGAGATCAACATCGTTCGCCTCGGATGCTGAATCGGACTCCGGTAAAGCTGTTACACCTGAAAACTCCGGCAACGGCCGTAACACGCCTCCTTTAAGCACCGTTTCTACCGCTGCTTGGCACACGTGCCAGTTTCCCGTCCACAGTAATCCGACCGCTCCGTGCACTGGGTTCACCGTCCTTCCACACGATTCGAACAGCAGCGATTGGAATAAAGCTACAGGTACACAAAAACAAACTCCTCAGTAAATAAATATTGTATGAACGTAGAAGTTTATGTGTGTTTTTAATTAGAGCAAAAAAAAAACAACTAAACCTCAGTGGATCGTGAGGCTACTCTGTCACTTGTATTAAACTTTATTTGCATACAATAAGTAAAAACGGCTCATGCATATGAATGTGTAAGTACCTGGTCGTTGAGATTCGGGAACAGAGGAGAGGAAAGACATGAGGCCAGCACGGCCGAAGAATTTGGCGACAAAGACGGTGGCATTAGCTTGAGCATGAGGGCTTTCAATGCCCTGTAAACTTTGTCGCAGTATGCAATTCTCGTTGCAACCTTTCCGGAGAATTCGACAGCCGTTGCAACTCATGGTGCAGACGTATAACCAAATTTCCTCTTACACAAATAGCACTATATGTAAGACAAAAATTAAATGAACAAAGAGAACTTTGATGTCCTTGAATTGCTTGGAACACAAGAAATGAGTAATTCCTTAGGATTTGGAACTGAAATAGAGTTCAAAGTGGAAGGGAGTCTTGAAGAATAGGAAACGGAGAGAGATATATAGAGATGAAAGAACGTGGGGGTTAAGGGGTATGAGATGTGGAGAAAAGTGGAGAATTATTGGACAAAGTGAAGGAAACTAATCATGGTTAAGAAACTAACCATAGTTAGGTTTAAAAAGGTAGTGGCTTTTGAGCAAAATGAGTGGACATGACGTTGTTTGCTTTAGAGTGGAGAGGGGGTGGGGAAAGAATAAAGTATTTGGGGGGGAGTGGGGGTTCCAAAAGTGTTGGGTAATAGCGGCTCCGTGTCTCCGCGAATGGGTAGAGAGAGGGGTGCCTTTTTCTATAAGAAGAAGCAGAAGAGAAGTATTGGATTCTAGTGCGGCACTCGAGAATCTTTTTTCCGCCCATTGTATGGGAGACTCTGCCCTTTCGTGATGCGCGTACTCCTCAACTTGCTCCACTTACCAACGACGTCGCCGAGTGCCGCATATTTCATTCTCCACTATAACTTTTTTTCTTGACTTTAAACCTTTGGTTTTTGTATTTTTGAAGATAAGCCGATTGGTTTAGGAATAAATATATTAAAATTGATGATAATATTTTCTGTAACACATATCAACAACTCTATCACTCTTTTATTTTTTTCCTTTCCTCTATACAAACCATATAGCCAAAAGAATTACTCCCTCCGTTTCATATTAAATGAGATACTTTCCTTTTTAGTTTGTTCCAAAATAAATGACACGTTTCTAAATTTGGAAATAATTCAACTTTAAACTTCTCATTTTACTCATTTTACCCTTAATGAGAAGCTTTTATAACCACACAAAAGTCCTGGCCCCACAAAGCTTTACCGCTTAAGCTTTTAAGACCACAAATTTCAAAAGTCTTTTTTTTTCCATAAACTCCGTGCCGAGTTAAACTACCTCATTTAATTTGAAACGGAGGCAGTATCTTTTAAATTACTTTACCGTTAAAAAATAAAGGCAGAATAGCCTAAATGACACTTATATTTGTGTCACTTTGTGGACCCTGTCCCCAAACTTAGCATTTTGCCAATTGGACACTTATACTCGCTCAAACCATGTATAATAAACGCTTATGACAGGAGGCTGTCAGTGCGTGTAATACAATCTCCTACACGTGGGATGCCACGTCATTACTAGTGCCACATAGAAAAATAAACTATTGACTTTATCTTCATTTTTTTCCCTACCCCACCATCTCTTCTCCTTACCGCCAACAACTCTAATACTGCCATCGCCGGAAAATTTCTCCAGCCACCGGAGAATATCATTAACATCCGGAGATCACTAAAGATAAATAAATAAAAAGTGTTCTTACACAAGAATTTCACCCCACCGAGGTCTTCCCCTTCCCAAGTTTTTACTNNNNCTTCCACAAGCACGATATGATTGGGCTCATCTGAGGCTCCAAGACTTTAAGTCTGTTTCTGAATATAATTCTGCGATGTTCAGAATTACTTCTAAATTGAAACTCTGTGGAGATACTATCACTGATTATGATATGCTTGAAAAAACGTTCACAACGTTTCATGCCTCCAATATGGTCTTGCAACAACAGTACAGAGAGAAAGGTTTCAAGAAGTACTCTTAGGTGATTTCTCTTCTCCTTGTGGCTGAGCGAAACAATGACTTGCTCATGAGAAATCACGAAAATCGACCCACTGGGTCTACACCATTGCCTGAAATGGATAAGGTGTATTCCCATTATGCTAAGCGTGGAAAAGGCCGTGAATCTATTCGTAGTCGTGATCGTGGTCATGGTCGTAGCCGTGGCCGTAGCCGTAGACAAGGAAGAAATTTTTCTGGTGTTAATCATCCCCCAAAGAGAAATAACCACCAAAATTGGAAAGGGAAAGATGAGAAGCCAAAAGCAAATGGTTCAGAAACTGAATGCTATCTTTGCGGTGGAAAAGGGCATTGGGCAAATATTTGTCGTGTACCAAGACATTTGGTTGAGATTTATCAAGCATCTCTAAAGAATAAAGGCCCTGAAGCTAACTTTGTCTATGACAATGACTTTGACATCACCCACTTAGATGTGGCAGACTTCTTTGAGCGCCCTGATGGAAAAATAGACCACTTGATCGGCGATGGATCCGTGATTAAAGATGATTGAGTAGTTTAATTTTTATTTTTTGACTATTCTTAGTAGCTATTGAATAAACATCATGTAACCATAGTTCTTTACAAGAGTAATAGTCATTAGTATTATTTATTTTATAAAATAGTATTAGCTTTTCTCGCATGTTTCTACATATATTAAGAAGACCAAAATCCCTTATCATGTGCTCAATAATATACTCTGGTACATTTATGTAATGTTATAATCAATGTATCAATGTCGTATTGGATATTACTATATAAGTATTGCGTGTATACATATAATGTTATTGTTATTGTACGTATGTCGTAATGTGTGCAATAATATGTGCAAAGCAAAAAATCATTGTAATATGATGCAATTGATCAATATATTTTTATGTTTTCATACACAGTTGCACATTTCATATGTGTCTTATCATTATATATCACATTATAAATTATTTATTTACTTACAATTATGCACTTCAGTTCTCAAGTTTACAAGTAGTTTCTTTTGATTGAGCACCAAATTAAATATGACACAATGTACATTTTACGTGACATGTCACATTGCAGTAAATATTTCTAACTATATGGTTACTACGCATAATTACTATTCATATATTGAATCATAGACTTAATTTTGTTTCATTTATTCTCTATAAATACTAATATTTATTTGTATATTTCTTTTGTATGTCAAACAATTGGAAGCAAATATGGATACCACACAAAACAAACTTGGATCAAATATTTGTTTAGTTGATTCATGTACAACACATACAATATTCAAAGAGAAGAAATATTTCTCTCATTTAAGTATGTGTAAGGCAGATGTTACTACAATTTCTGGTAGTAGTAAATTAATTGAAGGCTCTGGAAGAGCTACTATAACTCTGCCTAAGGGAACAATACTTATTATAGAGAATGCAATGTTCTCCTCCAAGTCCAAGAGGAACTTGTTGATTTTTAAAGATATCCGTCAAAATGGATATCATATTGAGACAATAGATGAGAATAATCTTGAATATCTCATCATTACCAAAAATGTCTCTGGCCAGAAAAGGGCTATTGAGAAGTTCCCATCTTTGTCTTGTGGCCTGTATTGGACAAGAATTAGTGCAATTGAGGCACATTCTATTGTAAACCAAAAAGGTTACCGATTCCAATACTTTTGTACTTTGACATGATCGATTGGGACACCGTGGATCAATTATGATGAGACGAATTATAGAAAACTCAAATGGACATCCATTAAAGAATTTAAAGTTTCTTTTAAATGATGAATTTTCTTGCACTTCTTGTTATCAAGGCAAGTTAATTATTAGACCATCACCAACAAAGGTTGGAATTGAGTCCCCTGCGTTTTTGGAACGTATACAAGGGGACATTTGTGGACCTATTCACCCACCTAGTGGGTCGTTTAGATATTTCATGGTCTTAATAGATGCATCTTCTAGATGGTCTCATGTGTGACTATTGTCATCTCGCAACCTCGCGTTTGCAAAATTAATGGCACAAATAATTCGATTACGGGCACAATTCCCCAATAATCCAATTAAGTCTATTAGACTTGATAATGCTGCTGAGTTTTCATCCCAAGCATTTAATGATTATTGCTTATCAATTGGGATAAAAGTGGAACATCCTGTAGCTCATGTTCACACTCAAAATGGTCTTGCAGAGTCTTTAATTAAACGTCTGCAATTGATAGCAAGACCGTTACTCATGAAAACGAGGCTGCCCACTTCTGTTTGGGGTCACGCCATTTTACAACAATGCTAGTTCGTCTCAGACCGACAAATTATCATAAATATTCCCTGTTGCAATTAGTTTTGGGTCATGAACCTAATATATCCCATTTAAGAATCTTTGGATGCGCAGTATATGTGCCTGTAGCACCGCCATATCGCACCAAAATGGGTCCGCAAAGAAGGTTAGTAATATATGTTGGGTTTGAATCACCCTCCATTATTCGCTACCTCGAACCATTGACGGGGGATTTGTTTACTGCACGATTTGCAGACTGTCGATTCGATGAGAAACTTTTCCCAAAATTAGGGGGAGAAGTTGGTGAAACCAAACCGGAAGTTTTGTGGAAAAATCCATCATTATCTCATCTTGATCCACGTGCCTCTATTTGTGAAAAAGAGGTGCAAAAGTTTATTCATTTGCAGAAAACAGAAAATCAAATGCCAGATGCATTTAGGGATATGAAAAGGATAACAAAATCACATATCCCTGCAGAGAATGTTCCAATCCGTATTGATGTCCCTATTGGACAATCTTCTAGTGTCATAGCTAATGAGTCAAAAGCACGCCTGAAACGTGGCAGACCATTAGGTTCCAAAGATCGAAATCTAGAAACAAGAAAATAAATGATCAAAATGACACTACGAAAGAATCTCATGAAGAAATCCATGATTTAATAAATTCTGAGATTCATGAGGAATCCACTGAGCCCGAGGCTCAAGAAAATAAGGAACTATTAATAAATCCAATCGATATTGAGATAAATTTGAATCGAGTGGATATAGTAGTGGATTATGTCTTTGCATATAATGTTGCATCTAGCATTATGCAAGAAAGTGAGGATCTTGAACCTCAATCTGTTGGAGAATGTCGACAAAGACTTGATTGGCCAAAATGGCAAGAAACAATCTAATCAGAGTTGAATTTGCTTGCAAAACGTGAAGTTTTTGGGCCTGTAGTCCAAACACCTAATGGTGTTAAGCCTGTTGGCTATAAATGGGTCTTTATACGCAAGAGAAATGAGAAAAACGAGGTACAAAGATATAAGGCATGCCTTGTTGCACAAGGATTTTCACAATGACCTGGTGTCGATTATGAAGAGACATATTCACCCGTTATGGATGCTATAACTTTCCGTTATCTCATTAGTTTTGCTGTCCATGAAAAGCTTGACATGCATTTAATGGATATGGTTACCGCCTACCTTTATGGCTCACTTGATAATGAG